GAAGAAGAAGAAGAAGAAGAAGAAGAAGAAGAAGAAGAAGAAGAAGAAGAAGAAGAAGAAGAAGAAGAAGAAGAAAAATAATGACTGGCTGGGGAATTCTGGAAGTTGAAGCCCACCCTTCTTACCTCTGGCTGATCCGATAGTCGGCTTGTTCCTGTTTTTCTCCTGAAGCCACCACAGATCTCTGCAACTGGACCAAAACAGGGGAAGAGGGATAAGGGAGAGAGAAAAGGAGAGGAAAATAGAGGAGAAGAGAAGGAAAAGTCCGTTGAGTGACCATCCGAAGTCACCACATCATTGACAAAAGGGACTTACGACCGTTATTCATCCTTACGGCCATTAGCATCCCCATGGTTAGGTGATCAAAATTCAGCTGCTTGGCCACCTGACTCAGATTTACAACGGTCACAGTGTCCTGGGATTTTGTGGTCCCCTTTTGCGACCTTCTGACAAGCAAAGTCCATGGGGGGAGAAGCTAGGTTCACTTAACGACCGTGTGAGTCATTTAACAACTGCGGTGATTCGCTTAACAACAGTAGCAAGAAAGGTTGTCTTGCTTAGCAACTGAACTTTGGGCCTCTCTTTAGTTGTAAGTTGAGGACTAATAAAACCACTTACATGATTTCTTTTTTTTTTTTTTTAATTCCTTCCTGTTTTTCTTCCTTTCTCCCCCATTCTTTGAAATGAATCTTTCATTTCTCTAATGCTTTGATCTACCATTTATATTTATATTTATAAGGACTGAATGGAAACTGCTTCCAGATTTGCAGCAATGGGAAGAGAGATTAAACTGAGAAAATGCATGAAAGGAAGAAAAAGGAAAAAAAAGAGAGAGAGAAGCTATCCAAAATATTGAAGAAATAGGCATCCAAAAAAGGCATCTCCCCCCCCTCTCTCTTAAGAGTAAACCCTGAGGTAAAAAAATACCTTCTCCTGTTTAATGAGTCTTAACAGATTTAGAAAAATGAACAAGAAGAATTTGACCGCTTCGCGAAAAAGGAGAAAAATGACAGGATTCAGAACTAAGATTAACTGCGCAGGCAATCCTCGACTTACAACCGTAAATAAGCCCCAAATTTATTTATTTCTTTTTTTTTGTTTAATTATTATTTTTTATTTTTATCATACAATAAATCCATTCCATTTCAATCATTTGTCGATGAGATACATATTTCATGTGCTTGACAATTACTAATAATATTCTTCTTAACAGTATAACCATGTTGTCCTGCC